ATAAAAGAGAAGAATTAAACAGTGATTCAGCCACGCCAACATAGTTTTCAACAATTTTAAGGTTACCGATAGTTGTCGCGACAATCACGCGTTCCTCTACTTGGCGTCTAAATAGAAGACCGTGCAGCTCTTGCGTTTCGAATGTTCTCGTCAAACGCCTTGAGTAGCGGAAGACGGCCATGTAAGGTCTTGCGGGTGCAATGACCTGGGGCAACTTTTCCATCAACTTCACGAGCTGGGCGTCGCTCTAGTCAGGGGCGTGTGATGAAGATGTGGTCATCGACCCTTCTGGATCCGAGGACGCAATGACCTTAAGCTAAGATACGAGATGTGGCAGTGGATGGGATGCCCGGCAGGACCGTGCGAGAGGAGCTCGCACAAGCGTTGATCAACGCATACGAGGAGCCTCGCTTCATAGGATGCTTACGAGATAGAGCCCAGCAGGTCGATGACGATCACGCGGTGTTGAGCTCAGCGAGGTCGAGCACCCCATGAGGGTCGACCAAGGCGACAGCGTCGGGCAAGCAAGGGTCGACCACGGCAAGGCGATAGAGTCGGGAAAGCAAGGGTCGACCGCGGCAAGGAGGTCGAGGCGTGAGATGTTTTAGAGGTTGACGCGTGAGAGGTCAAACATTTAGTCAATGTTCACTGGGACGAGCACATGCAACGTGCGGGGTGCGAGGTGCTAGATGCAAGATGCAAGATGCGAGGCGCGAGGCGCAAGATACGCGTGGCAGTCCAAGAAGCCTTGTTGGTCGAAGAATAACACGTGACCGAGATACATTTCAGGAGCAAGCCTTCGGGGACACCCGATAAAATTGGTCGGGGGTAGATCGACCTACCTGCCCCAGAATTCCTTTTACGACTTGAATTGGTCATGCAACTGTACTACCATTTGCTTTAACATGGGATCTCTCATGGCCTGAGACATGGGCTTCGGTGAGTGGATAGACCGTTCAGGCCCATCGTCTTCATGTCAGGGTGCTACGTACTGCTCCATGGATCGAACTGGTGCTACGTGCTGCTCCATGGACCGAACTGGTGCTACGTGCTACTCCATGGGTCGAACTGGTGCTACATGATGCTCCATGGATCGAGCTGGTGCTACGTGCTGCTCCATGGGTCGAACTGTTACTCCGCGTTAGGAGAAATTTGCAAAGTGAGCGCTGTTGTAGCCTCCACAATCAACCTCTCTAACCCTGGTCTGGTGATGGGCAACAATGGTTCGGGGGTGCTCGTTTGGTTCTGGGAGTTTACTGTCGTTCCCCTCTCCTCTGTCTCCCCGTAAGGTCTTGTCTCTTCTTGACGTGTTTCCAACATTGTTCTCGGTACCCCTTCTCGTCCGCTCATCACTGTCGGGATGCTGGGTGTTCCTATCTCCATTACCGCTTGAAGTGGGTGCTCTAGATGGCTCCTCGCCGGAACGCCATCCCCGCGGTGGCCCTCTTCCCACGGGCCGACATGAACTATCATCTTCTTCTCCTCCATGAGGTGTATCTATCTTCCTCTTCCACTTACCAAATGAATTTCTTTATTGTGAGAATACCGCCGATCTGCTGGTTGAGCTGGGGTCCCACAGACGGCGCCAATTTGATAAGGTCCAGGACGAAAGACTCCAGTTCCTCAACAGGTCCTCTTCAGTTTGAATGGTAGGTCGGTGGATGTGGTTCAGTCCATGCACTTGAGTTCGCCGGTACCTGCAAAGCGCCGAAATTGCTCCGGCGCAAAACCCTCCGACGCCCAAGTCAGTATCCGGCCATAAAGAGAGAGAGAGTTTAGAGCAATAAATGTAGTAGTGAAAATAAAATGAGGGCTTACCTTTGGTCCTAGCATTTAACGTATATATAGCGTTTAATTGTACGGATTACCTTCTTACTTGGGCATCTATCGGCCTAGTGTAGGCCGGTCGATACTGGGATACAGGGGTCGATACTAGGTTCACCTCACTGCTGCCTTGCGGTCCGCCTTAGTGGGTCGACACCCCCTCGACCCGTTCGACCGTGCACATCGACACTCGACCCAACCTTAACGGTCCTTAATATCGGCCAAGGATAGATGTGTTCTACCCTCCAGGCCATGGGTCTATGTGTTCTACCCTTTGGGCCATGGGTCTATGTGTTCTACCCTTCGGGTCATGGGTCTATGTGTTTTCCCCTTCGGGCCATGCGTCTACGTATTCTACCCTTTGGGTCATGGGTCTATGTTTTCTACCCTTCGGGCCATGGGTCTATGTATTCTACCCTTTGGGCCATGGGTCTATGCGTTCTACCCTTCCGGTCATGGGTCTATGTGTTCTACCCTTCGCGACATGGGTCTATGTATTCTACCCTTTGCCATGGGTCTATGTGTTCTACCCTTCGGGCCATGGGTCTATGTATTCTACCTTTTAGGCCATGGGTCTGTGTATTCTACCCTCTAGGCCATGGGTCTATGTATTCTACCCTCCGGGCCAAGGGTCCATGTGTTCGACCTTATGAGCCGGTCAATTCTCCGGCCCTCTTCAACCGTGGCTCAATCCCATGGTCCCTTCGACCCCGATTCTATGGGTCCTTATCCGGTTGAGTCGAGTCGGTATTAATGTCCATATCAACTACTCCCCCTATTTATGAGTATGCGAGACGAAGCTCGGATATTCGTAAATACAAACATTCGGATGATGATAAATACATATATTCGGCTCTCGATGTTACGTCTTCCTCATAATTTACTATTGTCGGTCTCCGCATGATTACCGAGCGCAACCCGACCTGGCTTACCGAGCACATGGCGTATGATGACTTCGAGGTCGAGGCTTAACCCCAAGCCCCTTCGCCGGTCGATGTTATGGTCGGGGGTCGAATCCTTGGGCCAATCGACGGGTCGATGCATGGTCGAGGATCGACACCTTGGTCCGATCGACCCTTAGGTCCGGTCGACACTTGAACGGGTCGATGCACGGTCGATCGTCCTTCGATCGGTCTACGCTCGACCATTAGACCATTAGGCTATTAGATCATTAGACCAGTAGACCAATAGACCATTAGACCAGTAGACCATTAGGTAAAGCCTAATAGCCGAGTAGGCCATTAGGCTTGCTTGGCCTCCATCTCACGGGTCTTTGTCCGGTTAGACCGAGTCGGTATTATAATCCCTATCATTATTATTTTATTTTTCACTGTTTTGATTATGGCGAGTGACATTGTAGTTTTATTTCCTTAACTTAAAAAAAATATATTTTTTCTTTGAATAAAAAGTATTTCTTTCTTTCTTTTCACTTGTGATTCTTAAGAAATTTCTCAAATTTATTTATATATTAGCCATATTTTTATTTTAAATTTCACTGTTTTTATTGTGGCGAGCTACATTATATATATTTTTCTTATTAACCTAAAGTATATGAAAAACAACTGCAGGCATCATTTAGCACATTTGCCCAAAGCCTTATAAAGTTCAGGACCGGCTCTACCTCAAATCAAACTATATTAAACCTGTAATTTAGAAAAGAAATCGGAACTTACCCCATAATTTCATAAACCTATTTCTTCAGAAAACCAAACTAGAAAGTCCATGTCTCTTAACAATCAAAAGAAATAGTAACATTTTCAATTTGTCCCCGGGAAAATTAATGCTTCATTGAGTTCAACACCACCAAAGTCGGTATTGTAATGTGCAAACTACAGTGTCTATACGATGAATAAAAAAGGGAAATTTTTAAACATCCTACACGATTTGGAAGTAATTGCAACCTTATCATTCATAATAATTTAATTGAGAATATACCTAATAGATAAGAATTATTTGCATTCATGCTTAAAATCAGTTACAACTATTTGTCAAACCTATCCCATGTTTATAGCGCACGATTTCTGGATTGAAGATGGAAAGAATCATATTTGATTTGAAAAACACAAGATTCATTGATAAAAAAAAAAAAGAAACAGAGGGGGTCGTCGATCGGATAAACTGAAGATTTGGAGTTATATTTTGTGATATTAACCTTCATTTAATCGCAGTAGATGTTAATTTTTTGTGTTGATGGGTATATGTATATTTTCCTTTTTTTTAGATGGATTCGAGCATGATGATTTTACTGATGTATTATAACCTGTTATAAACCGTTAATATAATACACATATACTGTACTTGTTATATACCTATAATATACCTGTTATATATTGATAATATACTATACATATACTAATATATGCAACACGATCACCTTTTGTAACTGATTATATAATATACATATAATTTTATACAACACATATACATATGCTATATTGGTTATATACTTATAATATACTAATATAGTTAATTTTTTATTCAGTGTATCTTTATCCTGTGATATACATATAATACACATATACTGTACATGTTATATACATATAATATACATGTTATATATTGATAATATACTATACATATACTAATATGTGCAACACGATCACCTTTTGTAACTGATTATATAATGTACATATAATATTATACAATACATATACATATGCTACATTGGTTATATACTATAAATTATAATATACTAATATTGTTAATTTTTTATTCAGTGTATCTTTATCCTGTTATATACCGATAATCTACTATAGTTTATTGAGCAGAAGTTGGTAGTTTCGTTGGCACCGTTTATCGGTTTTTTTCGAGCAGAAGTTGATAGTTTCGTCTTTGCCAATGAAGAGGGTTTTTTTGAATTGAGAGAGGTGAACGTGGGGCGGTGGTGATTTTGGAGAGAGTGAGAAATGATCGCACATTCAGATAGAGAACAAAATTGGTTCCCTTTTTTTTTGGTAAGTAAATGATTAGCATTAATGACCACATTTAGACGGAGAACCAAATTGGTTCCCTTTTTTTTAGTATGTAAATAATTGACTTCAATTAATTATATCACTGCATTTAATTTGTGCGGATAATTCATTAGAAACGGTTACATATTAATAATTCCTGTTTTAGGAATAAATGAAATATTTTATGCATGTTTTAGTAAATTTATAAATAAGCTTATAATAGATGCACAAGTGTAATATATATCATAACTTAAAGTAGGGGATGTAATTTCCTCAATAAAAAATTGAACCCACCACGAACCAAATTCAATCGACTGTAGCAATTGCATGGGTGCAATTAAACTCGAAGTAGTACTCTCCTATTTGACTCTAACCTTTTTTTAGGTATAATAGTCAGATTTTTTTATTTTCTTTTTCAAAACTCTCTCATGCTTCACAATCTTTCAAATCTACAATCAGCGTAATTGAAACCTAGGGGATTTTCTCCATCCCCCGTGTACCATAATATCACATGTAGAAACACAAAAACAACTTGCATCATCGCAAGATAGTGCAAGGAAAATCATCTTGACGAGAACTTTTTGTCAACAGTGCCTCCAGTCATCACCGACATAAAATGCTTGATCCCCAAGTTCTTCCTCGATTCTTAACAACTACAAGTAAGAAATTATACAGATCAATATAATAATAAATAAAGATGCAAGTTGGGATATAAAAAAAATCCATTTATTTTATCAAAATCGAGAAATAGTATATGTCGTCATTTGTTTCTCAAGTAACCACTATCAAAATGAAATACAGATAAAACCCAATTTTAACATTTTATGGCTTCCTTATGGTCTTGGATTTATCAATAATCTGATGAAATGACAGTATTGCCGTCTTAAGGCACCAGGAAATGTGATTGAGAAAAAGCAGCTTTCATTCTTCATATTCGAAGCACCACAATACAAATATTTTGAGAGAAAGATATTGGATCTATATTCCGAGATTTTATGTAACAAAAGGATACAATTGAAAAAAAAAAATGACAACTAGAAGATATAAATCGTCAACCTGATTGTACTTTGCCAGCCTTTCCCCACGACAGGGAGCACCCGCCTTAATTTGACCAGCAGCAAGACCAACAGCCAAATCGGATAAGAACGAATCTTCACTTTCCCCACTTCTTTGAGATATCACTGTACCCCAGTTTGCATCCTTAGCTAACTTTACAGCTTCAATGGCTTCAGTTACAGTCCCCACCTGGTTGATCTGAACTTGTAGTAAGAGAAAAAGGAAGCAGTGAGGGAAAGTGTTGAAAGAGTAAATTATAATTTTAGTCCTGTATGTTTCACTACCTTAACTTTTTCGTCCTCTTCGAATTGCGTTTTTTATTTTCGTCCCGTATGTTTGCAAAAAAGTTACAAAAAGGTCCTTTTCATACATAAGGGACGAAATTGGAACCTTTTTTTTGCAAAACATAAAGGACCTTTTTGTTGCGAAAATGACCATTTTGTAACCTTTTTGCAAACATACGGGACGAAAATCAAAAAAGCAATTCGAAGAGGATGAAAAAGTTAAGGTAGTGATACAGGACTAATATTGCATTTTACTCTTAAAAAAATAACTTTATTGAGAAGAGGCAGTATAAAGAAATCGTCAATGAAGATGGGAACCAAGACACCAGAATCATTCAGTATAAGCTTAAAATGTAAAGGCACAACTTACTCCGGTGTATTATACCAACTGAAAGAATAGCTTAACAATGAAAAACAATATTTATTTAGAGGTACAAACTCTTGTTAAGAACCAACTACTAGTCATCAGGTGTTCCGTCTGAACAATGCTTATTCATGCGCTAGAGGCTGATGAGCAGTCTTAATCTAGCAACTAAGTGTAGAAATCCAGAACATATTCCTAACATATAAAACCTCAAATTTCAGGATTAAAGTACAGGCATTTCTACTATACTTGATATTCCAAAGAAATTTACCATGTTGTGTTCCCCAACTGCTATCTTACTATAACACATTCGTAATACTACACTGTGATAAGAACATGGAAGTAAAAATAAAAGTGTGATAATAATACCTTAAGCAGAAGAGCATTGCAAGTTGCCTCCTGCACGGCTCTCTCAATTCGTTTAGGATTTGATGTCAATAAGTCATCTCCTACAACCTGAAACAAGCATCCACTTTCAGAATTAAATGGATACACTGGACTGAATGCTTACAAGAGTTATTTTTTAAGATAAGAGTGGACCATTACAGACCTAATATTTTACAACTCAATTCCCGATTATATAAACCAACTTTCATTGCATAACAAAACTGAGGCTTCAACAGTGACAATAGCTCATAGTGCTTCATTTGTGCAATGTTATGAATGACGGGTGGCGGAAAATGCCAGCAGGCTGAAATACCACCACAGCAGCCACAATGGCAAGCTGTGGAGCCGCCATAACCACCATCCTTAAAAAATTTCTAATGGCGGTTAGGCATAAATGCACCACACTGAAATTTTGACAACACTGCATTTGTGTCACTTTGATAACACAGAAAAACTTCTTTTCTTGCATCAGTTTGCACATAAATACTAATGGTATCAGATGCGAGTTATGGGGAGCTAATAAACCTACTTCTTTAGAAACATATTTGAAGAAAGCACTATAAGTAGAAAAGGCCGGTGTGTTCATGATCATCCATGTCCCATCTCATTGATTAGTGTAGATTGTGTATCAACTGATTTCACACTTCCTTAAACTCCTCTGAATTTGGAAACCAATGATTTGAGCACAAGGGTAAAGTTTGACCCCCAAGGTAGCCACAAGGTTTCTTAGCCTCAATTTAAATGCGTCATTGACAGGATAAGCTACCATCAGACCGAGGTTAGTAGCTTCATTTATTACAATTGCTATTGAGCTCAAAGTGTTTCTTCTTTACTTCTTCTTTCTCATGGTTCTTCTCTTTTTATTTCACTTTTGTTTTATTTAACAAATGGAAGCCTAGACTTCTCATAAAATTACAGGATAATACGCTTGTCGGAAACAACCTCAGGATATTGAACAAAGTAAGTCCCCAACAAGAAAACAGATTTTATTCAGCATGTGAAGATAATATCATGAAAAGATGATACGCCAAACCAAAATAAAAACTTGTGTCTAAACTCTGAGACTTCTTTGAAATTCTTGCAAACTTGGGTGACTTGGTTAGAAATTAGAATAGAGGGTTGCTAGCTTACAGTTCGTTCATAGTTAACTTATGACCAATGGACACTGCAACTAAAATCCCTCGGATGAGAACGAAAAACAGACCTGGCATATTCCAAGACTAGAGAAGTACTTCGAATGCTCCCAGTCTTCCTTGTCAAATGGATCTTCAATCGAAACAATAGGGTAGGCTGCGAAAGCACTCAAACAAGGTATACTTGACTAAACAACTCAGAGAAATTCAATGTACAAATAAGAAATCGATGAGAAATTTGCTTATTAATAATGCTATGTGTACATAATGTTTACATTCACTCACATGAGGGTGGGATCCACTTATTATCAAGTGATGGACCCCACACCCATGTGACTGAATGCAAACATTATGTACGCTGTATTACGTACACAGAAATATCCTGTACTTATACCTTCGCAGAGCTCTTTGTACATAGCAATCATGTCCTCTCCTGATTTGAAATTTTGACCAGATTTATTTGGTGATTTGTAATCCAAATCATACTTGGTACCTGAATAAGCAAACAAACAAACAAAAAATCATCTTGTACCGCCAACTGTCCAAAAGTAGGCAGGGAACCAAATAATGCAAATCATACTTGGTTCCTGACTTCTTGATTAAGCAAAGAAAAGAACAAAAATCATCTTGTGCACACAAACAATTTTTTATCTAGTTTATGATCAGGCCTGTAAAAACACCAATGGGTACAAAAGAAAACACACATCAGGTACAACTGTTTCTAACCAGAAGACCTTTTCTCACTCTCAAAAGACCAGAACAATGCAGATGTATGCCCAACAGGACCTACTGTACAAACCAAGTCTATCATTAGCAAGTTCAATGGTCTTTTCCAGACGAGCTATTCTATCTCCAAACAAAACAGACATAGATAATGGTGAATACACATACATGAGCAAATAGGATAGAAATCAGCAAGACTCGATCAGAGTAGACCACAGGTGAATTTTTAAGAAAATAAATAAATATACATATGAACCTACAAAAAATGTAGTACTAAATTAGTGGCAGATAAATAATAAATAACTACATAAATGAATGTAAAAGTTGCTTGCAAGCATATCAAAAAGCAACAACAATGGGCTAAATTACATTAATCACAAATAAAATTACAAATCACACACTAACATGGACAGATTAATAGCAAACTATGGCACCATATCTACAAAATTTTTACACATGCAATCCAAAATGAAAAGTTTAATTCCTCTGCTGACTCATAAAAAGTACATTCTTTTATTCTATAACACTGTAAAAAACTCCAATATTATCTTTCAGGAAAACCTAACAAGTTCTAATCATTGTAAGATCAGAAACATAGTTCAGTTATAGCTTGTTCTCATTCTCTTCTGTTTTTTCACTTTGACAGAATTTCCGGTCTACGCATTCCCAGAAATTCCTAGGCAACCATCTCAGCACACTTTAAACAAGCCAACCACTGTTATACAAATATTGAGCACGAGGAAAAGAAAATAAACAGTTTCGATCTTCAGATTGCATCTTTCTTTATGGGATAATTTAGTTCCACAAGCAATTCTTAAATTCTGCTCAAGAAAAAGGAAAATGCGAGTTGTCTAGCACCAGAACTCTGCAAAATACAAAAGCAGAATATTTATTTTGGTTTAATATGCAACTGTCTGGAGAAGCTCAGTGGAACCTCTCTTGTTTGTTTATTCAGCAAACATTATTTTTCACGTCAGAATGTCAATGTAAGACAGAGAATGTCACCTATGCAAAACTGAGTAGCAGCGACACCAATTGCAAACGTTATTTTTCACGTCAGAATGCCAATGTAAGACAGAGAATGTCACCTATGCAAAACTGAGTAGCAGCGACACCAATTGCTATTTTAATTTTCTCGCTGTGCCCTGTTCGTCCAATGGCCTCGTTTACAAAATCCAAACCTTCCTTTATGCTGCAGGTTCATACAATTAGGACATTTGATCGTCTCAACAAATAGGACATAGTGAGGAAACTTGCCTGGATATATTTGGAGCAAAACCACCATCATCTCCAACATTACATCCATGTGAACCATATTTTTCTGTAATCACAGCCTGATGTTCCATGATGACAGGTAGAAATAAATACACTAAGTTGCCAAGAAAGGGTAAAAAATTTCGGTTAAAATATATGAAATATATGAAACATGTACCAAGATCAATTTCCAGTGTGTCACACCAAGATCAGGTAGGATCACTCCCATAAAAAAGGAATATAAAATATACAAAAAATATACAGGAAGTTCATCATAGCAAGATCCGGTAGGATCAATACTCCTAATAGCATACATGCCACAACTTTTAAGCTTTGTCGATGTACTATTATTCAGTATCTTGTACTCTAAAAACAAATCTACCAAACATAGGAATGAGGCAACTTATACAGGTATAACTGGTCCATGAAGGATTAGCATGGATGGTGTTGGAGCCACCAGCAAAGATCCAGGGTTCAAATTCCTCTAGTTGTTACTTTTCAAGGCCCTTTTTTTAAATAATAATAATTTTTAAAAAAAAAAAAAAACATGTAATCAGGTATAACTGGATATTTACTACAACGAACATGGGTAGAATACTGGCATAAACCACAAGCAAATATATCTGAACTGAGAAAACAGAGAGCATAATAACAAGTGGAGAACTGTAAAAATTACTTTTCAACTTATTTTATACGACATGATTGGAAAACAACCTAAAAAAAAATTCCATCAACATTGCAAGTAAATACTTGTAAGAAATAAGAATAAAAAATTGTATAGAACATCTTTTTAGCTGGGAAAACTCACCTTCAAATGATGATAAGTTTCAGATCCTATTTGCAGTGCCTCCTCAAATTTTCTCGTCCCAACAGGAAGAATTAAAATTTCCTGATGACATTTAACTTGAAATCAAGATCAGATAATACAGGTCTAACATTCCCCATCAACATAGAGAGATTGGTCAACAAGTTTAATAACATCTTATGAACCAGTTTTTCAAAATAAGGGCCTAGGACATAGAGTTACTTATTAATATCTGTTCATGAACAGTCCATTCTGGAAAAGTTAAATAACGTCTGAGCATATATATGCTTTAAATTTCCTCTTAAAGATTCTTCAGATAATCAAAAAAAAAAAAAAAAAATTGCCAGTCATGGTGTTTGGGTTCACCACATATCTAGTCTTATTTATAATTGCATACCCAAAATCACTCTTCCACCACGCAATCTAGTGTTGTCCGTGCAAATGCACACGAAGTAATTAAATGAATTATTAAAAAAAAAACTAAAAAATTGAGTGGTATAACAAATAAACATCATATATCATTCAAAGCTTCAGATACCACCGTCTTTTTGGTGGACACTTGGTTCTTTAGACTTAGAACACATCAGAGAGATTGATTTTAGCTCTCATTGTAATGTTATTTTAGCTCTAATTAATAAATATTTGCAGATCAAAGAAACTAAACTTTCTTTATACTAAAATAAGTAAAGGATTCTGGTAATGAATTTGTAAGATTGACAAATGAATTGTAAATTTATTATGTTGTTGAAAATAAAAAACAATCAAAATATTGATACTACGAAATAGAAACAACAATATTATTAGTTTAATCCTTTATTTAGTAAGATTCCATTTTCTAAATGTTTGCATTGTCGTACATTTCAAAATATAAGCAAGAATATCAAAGTAGAAGTAAAATGTACTTGATTTTTGTTTCATTTATTAATAACCACATGTAAAAAAATTGGTCAATTGCATCAACAATTTGTGATATATACATGATAAGTTTATATAATTGCCAGTGATAATTGAAAAAAATCGTATATGTAAATTCACATATCATATAAAAACTAAAACAATCATTTCCTAATCTAAATTCTAACTCAAATATAAACTAAAACACAAACACAACAGGCATTAAAATATTAGATCTTCCATGTATTCTGTATAAAATAACAAACAAATCAAACTTCCTCATCTTCACAGTCCACCATATCATCTGTGTCCCTATGATGGTCGGCAATATCATTATCCAGTTGGGCTTTCTTGGGATTTAAAGTATTGCACTCTTTAAAAAGGTAATGCATGCATTTGTAGATGACATGAATAATTTTCTTTTTTTCTTTAAATTCCTTTGTAGGCTAAAAGGTAAGTTTTATAGGACGGCGATTCGCCCGGCGATGCTATACGGTGCTGAATGTTGGCCTACAAAAAGGCAACATATCCAACAACTAAGTGTAGCAGAGATGCGTATGTTGCGTTGGTTCTGCGGGCACACAAGAAGAGATAGAATCCGGAATGAGGATATTCGAGATAGGGTCGGGGTGGCCCCAATTGAGGAGAAATTGGTTCAACATCGGCTGAGGTGGTTCGGATATGTCCAACGGAGGCCTCCTGATGCACCAGTGCGTAGGGGAGTTCTACAGCGGGTCGAGGATGTTAAGAGAGGCAGAGGTCGGCCTAAACTCACTTGGGAAGAGTCGGTTAAGAGAGACCTTAAAGATTGGAATATCTCCAAGGATTTACCGGTGGATAGGAGCGCTTGGAGGCTCGCTATCAACGTGCCAGAACCGTGACTTTTGCTCCTTTCTCTCTCTCTCTCTCTTTTTTTTTCGATCTCTTCCTTTTGGTTCGAGTCCTTTTGTGTTTCTCTTGGGTTTCATCTCTAGCCTACCCCGACTTGCTTGGGACTAAAGGCTATGTTGTTGTTGTTGTTGTTGTTGTTATTTTTAAATTCCTTTGTAAGTGTGGAACTTCATCCTAATCCACATCAACACCCTACTTTGTTCACCATAAAAAATGAAAACTCTTTAAGGAGTGCAAATGCCAAACAAATTAAAAAATGTAAGTATTTGTATGGTTTGTGGAAATCTTTTAAATTGCAATCTAAAATACAATGCATTTATAAGGACCAAAACATGAGTAAGTTAAATAATTGTGGGACTAGTTACCCTCCCCACTACAAACAACGGATTCATAAAATTAATAGCAATTTACTAATTTACTCATATATTTTATTAATTAAATTAATAGTTTTTTTAGTGTGGAAATGTGGATTTGTCTGCGCAGAAGCCAACGGTTTAATTTACTATTTTTTTATTTGTACTTCGGCGCGTTTATTTAAATTTATGACTATTTAATTCTTTGAATAGGCATACATGTGGCCTTAATTTAGGCTAAACTATTTAATTGTTTGATAGGTATACATGTTGCCTATAGGCTAAATTATAAATTTAAAACTTTTAATGAAGAAACATCTCATATATGTATGTGTGTGTGTGTGTGTGTTATATATCGTAAAAGTATATAAGTGTAAACAATTATTAATTACAAAAAATATAGAAAATAGTTATAAAATGCCTAATAGATAACTGTCTTTTGGCTACCACATATATAAAAAAAAATGAAGTAACTGTGAGGAATACAAAAAAGTATTTTGAAATCTGAATAACAATAAATGCATAAGTGAAATCCAAAACTAACTTTCCACAACTAATGGAGAAATTTGGTTTGTGTGCGAAAAA